TTTTTTTTTTTGGTATATTAGATATAATTTAAATTTTTAGGGCCCAAATTTTAATAGTTCAATTCAATGCCTAATTTTATTAGGATTAAAATTACTCACTCTTTGTGAGCTTTTATTTGAGCCCTTGGGTTATCGGGTTCAACCCGAACCCAAAAAAATAAAAAATTATATATATAGATATACTTACTACTCTAAAATATCAACATATCTAAAAAATATATTTTTTCCACTTCTATTCCCCAAAACCACCACTATGCCGTTCTTATCCTTAAACATTAGAGTCAGAATAAACTTAGTATAAAGTAAACCTAAATCTTCACACTCCTCTATTTTCGCCGTTATAATTCTCTCTCCCCCTTCCCTATGTATTGAACCAGTCACACGATCTCTCTCGTCGTCTTCCCTCCCCTCTCACTTTTTTAACATTTCTATGAAGTCACCTTTACTATTTAATTAATAATAACAATCATCCTATATATAGTCCATTACACATCCAAGAGTCATTTTGTAACAGGTAACAACATAACATATTCACTCAACAGTCTCCTGCCCTTTTGTTTTCTCTAATTCACTCTCTCTCAATTTTCTTTTTTTCATCTTTTTCCAGAAATCAAATTCAAATGCTCATATTCCAAACCACATAAAATTCTCCTCAATTCATTTTCTAAGGCCTTTTTTCTTTTCTTTTTTTTTTTTTAGCTCAGTCCTCTTCTCTTTGTTCATCTTCTCTATCTTCTTTTGTTTTGTCCACTGTTCGGAAGTCATGGGTTTTTGGGTCACCATCCCTGTGTAAGCTCAGCGTTTACGAGGTTGCTTCCACTTGCTGCCAGAGACTTTTGTGGTGATCATATTGTCATATGAGGGATTTATTGATAGCTCACATATTCAATTGAACACTCGAAGTTTCTTTATTTTGCAGAATTTTATTCCCCTTTATTGTTTTTGAATTGACAAATGTATTCTTCTTTGTTATGTGTTTTACTTTTTCTTGCATTAATTGATTTTCTTACTGGCTCCTATTTTTGTTCCAGGCTAATGTATGCCATGCATACCAAACTGATCATATTTTTGTATACCAAACTAATCAAGGCAGTCTTGGTGTACTTGGTTAGTAGCTGCTCTTTTGTAAGAATTCAATTTTTGTGCACCGTAATTGAAGTTAATGATTGCCTTTGGTGATTCATGCCTTTAGCAGTTCTATTGTTAAAGATTTGGCATCGACCATGTTTCGGAGGTCAATACATATATTTTAAATTACAAGTTTGGTTCTTTAATTATGTTACACTCATTTTGTAAATTTTTAGATAAGCCCACTTTTTCTTTTATATGTATGTACTAGTCATAATCCGTGCTTGAAGGCACAATAAACCAAAAAATTTGAGTCCTTAAAAATCAATATCACTATATTAAATAATATTTTTTCTTTCTTTCATTTGTTTGATTAAATTATTCAAAATTTATTTTTACTCATTATTTTCTTAAAGATATTGACAAATTTTCTCAAAATATGTAATTCAACAAATTTTTTAAACAGATCTATATTATCGTGTATGAATAATATCTGGAAAAAAAAATTATGTTAAATTATAAATTAATCAAATATTAAATGGTAAATTTGAGTGATGTAATAGTTTTGGGGGATGAGAGGATAAAATTCAACCTCCTGTGTGTTTTATTATATAGATTTGTATAGATATAAGAGAAAATTTCATTCAGATCCCTTGTAATTAGGTCTAAATTCAATGACACCTCCTTTTGATTTTGAAATTTCATTGTCACTCTTTATTAGTGATTGTCAAGTTACACCGTTAATGGAGATGGTTGATTTATAGAAATATCCCCAAATATTTTATAAGGTAAATTTTATTCATACCATTTATAAGTAAACCTAACTTTAACAACATCCCCTGTAAAATAGACTTAATTTTAACAACACTCCTTCTTGATTCTGAAATTTCAATACATTCCATTTTAGTTCTATTATATTAGCATTTATTTTCATCAATTTAATATTTAATTTTATAAAATTAATTTTCTTTATTTAATTTAAACTAAATTAAAATTTCATCTCATCTCATCAAATCAACAGAAAATTGATATTTAATTTTATCAAATTAGCATTTAGTTATATTAATTTAATATTTCATTTCATCAAATTAATATTATTTCTTTAATTTAATATTAAGTTATTATTTATTTTTATCAAATCAACATCAAATTGAAATTCAATTTTATTAAATTAAAATATTTAATTTTATTAAATTCTATTAATTTAACATTTAACCTTATCAAATTAACGTCATTTCTTTAATTTAACACCAAATGAACATTTAGTTTTATTAAAACAACATTCAAATTTATTTAATTAACATTAAATTCAATCAAATTAAAACTAAATTAATATTTAAATTTATCAAAATTAAGATCAAATTTATTCAATTAATATTAAATTTTATCAAATAATTTTAAATTTTATATATGAAATGTGATGTGTGATGAGCGGTCGGGCGACATTGTGAAGGACATATAATAGTAGAGGAATTAGAAATGGATGAGATTTTGACATTTACTTTATCAATTGTAATTTTTATTATTGAAAAATTATTTTTAACTATAAAAATTATAAAAACTTGATTATGTAACCAAATAAGTGATAATATGATGACTAATATTATAAAAAAGTTATAATACAACGTTTTAAAATAAAAAATTCATTGGAATAATATAATGATTGAAATTACGTAGTGTTTAGATGAAACTTTTCCTAAGATATAACATGTAGATATAGTATGTTTTCGATCTTTGTACTATATATATGTACAGTAAAGATGTGCGTGTGATATGAACAGTAAAGATGGAGAACAGCTGCATTAGAATAGAATTTTGGGGAGACATGTGTCTCAGTTTGGAAAGAGAATCATGAAATATGAGAGTGTGAATGACAGTCAATGTCTCAGTATAGAAAGTGATCCCTTAACATAGGAAATAATGATAAGAGTTGTAATTTGTATTTTAGGGAGAGAGAGACATAGTTGAGGAATGAAAGATCTCTTAATTGCCAAATTAGATTGGGTTGAGNTTTTTTTTTTTTTTTTCCTTTTTTTGTCTTTCTTTTCTTGTTTTTCTAGGAAAAAAGCTCTAATCCGTATCTCTTAATTAGGTGTATATTCATATTTTCTTTTTCTTTTTTTTTTATTTCATTGTTTCTTAATTTCATAGAACATGCAAGCAGATTAGCCACTTGTTACAATTTATTTATTTGAATATTACAACTAGATCCTTGACTAAAACAATGCGTTCATAGAAACAATTGTTTTTTTGTTTTTTTTTGGTCCTACACAATTATAAACAATATTTCATTCATNGATATAGTATGTTTTCGATCTTTGTACTATATATATGTACAGTAAAGATGTGCGTGTGATATGAACAGTAAAGATGGAGAACAGCTGCATTAGAATAGAATTTTGGGGAGACATGTGTCTCAGTTTGGAAAGAGAATCATGAAATATGAGAGTGTGAATGACAGTCAATGTCTCAGTATAGAAAGTGATCCCTTAACATAGGAAATAATGATAAGAGTTGTAATTTGTATTTTAGGGAGAGAGAGACATAGTTGAGGAATGAAAGATCTCTTAATTGCCAAATTAGATTGGGTTGAGGAATTAAATTTAGAGATGTTAGTTTTGGAAACTAAAAGTTTTGAGCGGCAAAAAATTTTCAAGAGCTAATATGGTACGTCGGATTGAAACGATCTGAGACGTCAATAGCTTGAGACAGTTTGAAATATCATCGGTCGTTGAATGATATCTNTTCATAACACAGTTCACGTGTAACACGTGGGTATCAACTAGTAAGTATATATATATATATCACATAACAACACTAGGGTTCCCAATCCCCTTATGCGCTTTTGACTACCCCCTTCTCTCGTTCTCTGCTCTCCTCTCCTCTCTTGTTTTATGCCTCTCACAGCGAAGAATCTTCAACAATCGAATACCTTCGTTGAAAATCTTATACCCTATTAGATCTGCAAAAATCAAGTGCAAAATTTTTAAAATTGGAGCTAGTTCGCTGAGAGAGATGCAAATCTAAGTGTCAATTTCAAATAATTTTCAGATCTGAGTCNTAGATCTGCAAAAATCAAGTGCAAAATTTTTAAAATTGGAGCTAGTTCGCTGAGAGAGATGCAAATCTAAGTGTCAATTTCAAATAATTTTCAGATCGAGTGGCCATGGCACCGAAAACCACGACGACTCTCAAATAGATAAATTTGGAGGGTGTGGTGGTAGTGACTGTGTGGGCAATGGCTATAGGCAGTGGTGGTGGCTATGATTTTTTGGTTTAATTTCTTTGTGTTAAGTTTTGATTGAGTTGTGTAATTTTCTTTGGTTTGATTTATAACTTGAATTCAAACTTGAAATCAGTCTGAATTAAGAAACTCAAATTCAACCTGAGCCTGCCCATATTTAACTTGTGTAATACTCGGGTTGAGTACCTCGAGTTGAGGTCGAGTTCGGCTCGAATTCGTGTTGAAGATTATATACGCAGAATTGGACTAGGGTTGATCTCTTAACTTGTCCAACTCGTCCGAGTTACACCCCTACCCTCAAGTATTCCATTTATTTTAACCCACCCAAATAAGAGTTTTGTGGGCCCCAAGGACAATTTAAGTCCAATCCCGCATTTTATACTCCTTTATTTGGCGTGCAAATTTTGATTTTTTTACCTAAACCTAATAACAAACTCTAAATCGAATGGGGGCAAACAAAACTTTGAGGACAATGTTATCACACGCAAAGCAAAAACACAAGATTTTCTTTTGTTTTACAGAAAATATGACAACAACACATTATGTAGGTTTAACACAAATATGCTAGTTCACTATAGCCACAAGCTAACCTCTGACAAGGACATTAGCTGCTATGTACCAGGATAGAAGCTCCCACTAACAGAGGTTAACTAAAACAGTAGACTGAACAGAAGAGCAAAAGAAAACAAACAGTAAGTTTTTTCTTTCTTGTATGGCCTTGAAGATGAATTGCTAGAGCTACCATATATCACCTTGCTGCGGCCTCCCTACTTTTCAATTTTTTCTATATAAGCACCCTTTTCGGGTACTGCTGAGACTGGTGCCTGAAAATGTTGTTGTGGTGATTGCAGTGCCATTGTGACTTGTTGAATTGGCAGACTCACGCCAAAAACCAGGCCTAGTTGGCTGACTGACTTCAGTTTGAATTTTGGAGATGAATTCCTCACGAACTGCACTTGCGGGGCTGTGCCATTCGTCATTGTAGACACTGTAATCCTCGAAAATCTCCATCTCAGTCGGATAGCTATACGTGAACTCGGTGGCTGTAGGTACTTGATGAACATATACCTCGACTTTTTGTGGGCGATCATGAACTAGACTCGAACGCCTGCTCCACTTATCGTTCTTCACTCCATGATCCTTGACTTCATATTTGTACTTGGTGATTGTAGGCACCGGAACACACTCAATCACTGTCTCAGTTTGTGTGAAATAGCTCTCTTCATTGGTATTGGGAGAGTAGGTTGTTGAGTAGCCAGTAGTGATGGGCCTTTCTCTCACTTCACTAACACCAACATAGCCATTTCCAGAGTTGCTTGTTTGATACCAGTTCTCTGTGTGAGAGTCCCACCCTTTTCGAGTGGTGTAGGTGTAGCCCCCTCTCGTGTGACCATAGCCATCCATTACTCAATATAGTGTTGGGAAATTTTTTTCTCTCTTCAAGAACTCTTTGCACTTTCTCACTTGCTACGAAGATGTTGTCACTACATTTATCCTTTTATAGATAGAGAAGATATGCTGATTACTGTGAGAGTATCTTATCCATCTTTCTTGGTAATGTTGCTTGAAGTTTTAGATTCCTCCAAATATCAAAATTTTCTTTGGTTTCCATGGAATAACCCAAACATCTTCGATTAAGTAGAAACAAAAAAAGGGGAAATATTTCGGGTTATGTTTTCAAAACATTTTTGAAATATTTAAGAATAATTTTTTTTTCAGAACTTATTAAAATTATGTACCAAAACGAGATTTCCATTGTGATAGAATATAAGAAAGAGAAAATATAAACACGTAAACAGATCTCTAGTCAAAAATAGAGTAAGTGGTGGGACATGGAGAGCTTGAGTTGAACAGATCTCTGTCGTAAAAAATAGAATTAATAAATAAGCAGTTGCTTGGATAAGAACTAGTTAGCCTTTTTGCTTTATGGAGGCCAATTTCTTTCTGGTGAAGATAAGAACTTATTCCAAAAACTTTATAGAAATCCATTTCTATTGCATTAGGAATCCTTCTCTTTTCTCTTCTTTTTTAAATATGTTTATGTATGGCATTCCTACTCATATAACAATCTGGACCTTTCGTTAGTTTCGATTGCTTATTTCGTCGAAAACCACTCTATTTAACGCATTACTATATATCATTCATGATGTAATATCGTTTCTTTAAATATGCTACAAATATTTAATCTACACAATGACTCTTCAGGGATGTTTGCTTCGGGTACAACATAGGATGAAATTAATCAATTGATTCTAATTCAATCTATAAATGCGGTATGATAAAAAAAATAATCTATAAATGTGGTAATACATGGTTTGTCATTTAATCCTATCTTATTCCATACTGTGTTTAGTTCAAAGTTTGAAAAGGCTTGAGTCGGTTGTACTAATACCAATCTTATATTTGATTGAAGAATCATATACTATTAAAAGATGAAAAAGAAGAAAGTGTCCGTGCATCCAATTCCATTCAAAATGAGGTCAAGGGTGCTGTGGTTATTTTTAATTATGATACCAATCAGGATATATTTGATACCACATCATATGAGATTAGGTTATATCCTATATATTAGGCCTGACAATTCTAGACACGACTCGTAAAACTGACACAAATCCNATTATGATACCAATCAGGATATATTTGATACCACATCATATGAGATTAGGTTATATCTTATATATTAGGCCTGACAATTCTAGACACAACTCGTAAAACTGACACAAATCTAACACAGATTTAATGGGTTTGAGTGGTTAATGGATTAACTCGGCAGATGTGTGAAATAAACGAACCAAATTTCATGTTTAACTCATAATCTCGTTTCAGTCCATTTAATTCGTTAACAGTGGTACTATAATTTTTTAAAAAACAAATTAGGTCTCTCAGCCTCTGCCTCATCTCATGCCTCACATCTCTCATTCAAATTTAGTAGTTATTTAATCTTTATTTTTTGTCTTTATTTTTTTGTTCAGCTATGATTTATTATTATAATAAACAAGTCAAATAAGTGTAATGTATAGAAAGTTGTACGCGTTTATATAAACGAATGGGATATGGATGAAGGATTTTTGACACAAACTCATTCCACTCGACAGAAAACTGTTCCACTCCATACGATTGTGAGGCCTACTATACATTGCATTATTTTACCCTGTAATATCAAACCGACATTAGCTTATACTACAAAATCAAGCCCCAAACTTGGTATTAAGCTAGCTACCATCAAATGGATTTAATCGATTTCACTCCTACTTATTCAAACATGCCCTTAATGGAGAGTAAAATTGTCCCACATCCACACTAACAAAAAAATAAGAAGAAGAACAGTTGGAGACTGGAAAGGTTATATATTCCTTATCAAAGGAGTGTAACTTCTCTTTTTTTTCAATAGTCAAGTTCGGATCAGCTCACGCACACTTCAATGAATTTTCTATTCGGTCCGGTCAAAAGCAGTTTATCTACGCCGAAACTGGGATATTTATAAAAAATAAATTCCTTATCATCTAATTCCAATAAATTGCCAAAATTCAAACTCACGACGTTTGAATTTATAACTTATTTCTGTTACTAGTTAAATTACCTTGGAGTTATAAGAAGTTTAACTTTCATTCCCATCATGAGAAAGTTGTAGAATCTGTAGAGATGGTATAGCACAATTATATTCTCCCTATCCAAGGACCGTGGCTTCCATTTTCTTTTCTGACCAAGTTGAGCTTCCTCATTTTTGTTTCACACTACACAACTTTGTTAAAAAATAAAAAACATTACACAACGAATTTTCTTAATATTTTACAACTTTTACATTCATGGGACATTACAAATTTCTGTCAAACATGATGGCCTAGCCTAGACCAAGTTCAGTCTAGAATTACAAACCAAACCCAGGTTATAGGTGCAGCCCAGTTTAGATTAGGCCCAAATCACGGGTGCAGCAAAGCCCAAATCAGAAATATAAGCCAACTAAGATCAAGTCCATCGTCTTGAAAATTCTAGTCTACTAGTGACACACGTGAGATCTTCACCTTAGAAAAAAAAATCAATGTACACATTGCAAGCCTCAACCACCGCGTCTGTTACACCAACTTCACAGAGTCACCCACTCCCGTCATAAGGGTGCACCTTAATTAGGGCTCCCCGCGATGACGCCTCCATCGAAGTCTGCTTTGGGGAACTATGAAGACTATACTCTCCTATAAATTGTCAGTCTCACCTACACATGGGGAACAATACATACATTTCAACACAGTATACCTCTTGAGTAATAATATTCTTAAGCCACCGTAGTCATTTCCAGTGGAGTAGGTCACCCAGATCGCACAACCCAATTTTTATGTTTGTTTATGTTGAACCCTCTTACTTCATTCTTGATGAATTTTACATAAACTCACTTTTATGCATCATCAAAACAAAATTTAAAAAGAAAGGGCATTGTGTATTTTTAGTCCCCGACTGTCTTTGGCATTTTTTCAGTTGTGTTAGTTTAGTCCCTATAATTTTTTATTTGCATCTATATCCTTCGGTCAATGAAGAATGATTGAATTGATGATGGAAAATAGCACACGGCATTTGATCAAATATACTTTTTGTACATTAAAGTATCCGAATAATGTTACTTTGGTCCCTCAACTACTAATTTCGTCAATTGCATTCGTCCAATTATAATAATCTGAGATTCATCCAATAAATGGAAACTAAAATTATGAGTTTGTGATTATGGTATCCAATAGTTAGCCTTCCCATATGATAGAGCAAGAGATTGAACTACAAAGCTGGATCATCCTGGAAGATGAACTTCAAGAATGTAGAAGTGTATTCTTATATACTTTCTTAACTATAGCTAAGATTCACATAATCTAAAGCCTACACCATCCAGCACAAGCCAGAAAGCGCATTGAAGGATAAACATGGATTACAAGCAAATTATTTAAGTGATCACTGGGCTTCACAACCAAATATATAATAAAGTTGCTGCTGGAAGCAATAGATAAGATATTCCTGGAAGGCACCAACTGGACATCTTTCAACGTCTTAGAGTTGGGCCAACCAACTGACATAACTTACATGAAGTTCTTGACAGATGGAAAAAGGTGACTTTTCAATTCCAAGCAAATGAATATATACATCTTTCTTTTCCCAAATAAGAAACAACAGAACTCTTCGCAAGCTACTTTACAGAAAGTTAAGAAACCGTCACAAGTTCATGAAGATAGATCTGGAGCAATGTAATGATTCAAGTAGTCCACTAAACACAGGATAGCTAGCATACAGAATGGATGATCTGAAAAAAGTAATCAAAACACAAGCAAATATAGCTGATTGATTCAACTCTAGTAACTCATACAAACTTCCTACTCTTAATAGTATCCTCATAAAGACTAACCACCACTTTTGGCAAGAAAATTGTTGAAAAGCTTAAACAAAATATATTCATTCCAGCAAGAAAATTTTAATGAATACTCCCCCCAGAAAATCTAAGCAGAATTGGCAAACATGATTCTAGAACTAGTTTTAAATCCCTTAGTAAAAGCCATGATCAAATCTATTCAAATCACCACTGACATTCATCCTTCACAAAACCTTTATGGTTGGGTTCTAGGTTTTGGCCATTTGAAAGCCACCAAAAACAATTCCTGGGCCACGTTCTTTGACATCTGTAATGTTTGTATTCTGATAGAGGATAAAGGATAAATAGCAGAAGTGATGAACACAAATTTAGACCAAACCACTACAATGCCATGACCAATATATCTATTTGCCTTTTCCCCATTGTAATATTTCCCTAATGTTTGTCATTGAAGCTCCTAGAATATTCTTGAGAATGCTGTTTTTGGAAGGCATTGACAACTTTCTTACTAGTGTTTCAGCTCATCTTTCTCCTCTCATTTACTTCCTTTCTCCAGAAAATGATAGAACTGATACTGAGGCAATTAAATATAGTAGCTGAACTGTTTCAGCTGCTTTTTCCACTGCTGGCAGCGCATGGTTTGGCCCTCTGTCCTGGTTGCAAAGCATTTCATCTTGTCTTGCTTCATGTCACTTGTGGCATCTATGGCAGAATTTATGTTATGTTTGGAGGCTCACATTGCAGCAACATAGAGAATAAAGTGACATTCGAGGCAAGGATGGAGTTCCACATACTTGTTTTTTAATGTTTCAATTCCTCAAAATACCTGCAAATTATATGTACTTAGCATTTAGACCATATGGTGAATCCTGAGTTGTGTCACTTCTACCACACGGACTTTTCTTTGGCTGTCCTAGCCTTTCAAGGCAGTGATTTTTCCTCTAGAAGCCCGTCAAAGATGGTGGAAGTGATCATAAAAATAACACTTCAATCATCCCATCAGACCGAGACTGAGAGGATGAATAATATCCACTGCTAGCAGCATGTGGTTTGGCCCTTTATCTTGTTTGCATAGCATTTTGTAGTATCTTGTTTTGAATCTCTTGTGGGATCTATTGCAGAATGTTCATTGAGTTAGAAGGCTAGCATTGTAGCTACATCGAGAATGAACTAACATTGGAGGCAAGGTGGGAAGAGTCTTGCATTCATTTTCCATNTCATTGAGTTAGAAGGCTAGCATTGTAGCTACATCGAGAATGAACTAACATTGGAGGCAAGGTGGGAAGAGTCTTGCATTCATTTTCCAATATCTTTATTCCGCAAACGCATGCAGATATTACTTAGCAGTGAAACCCTGGTGACGAATCCTAAAGGTATGACACTTCTTCTAACCCATGCAGACTTTTCTTTGACTGTCTCAGCCTTGAAGGAATTTATTTTGCCTCTATAAGCTTTTTGAAGACTGGAAATGATCATAATTTCATGAGATAGGGAGAATCCTTTTAAAATGCCCAGGAAAAAATCACACTATTGCATATGTTACCTTTGACTGCTGAGGTGGGGGTAGCTCGCTAGTCTCGTGTTCTAAAGAGTCCCGAGTGCCTCGTGGATAGCCAAATAGGAAAAAAGGCAAATGCTGTAGAATTTCTCTCTACTAAAACAAAGCTTTCTTAATTTGCAATCCGCAGCAGAAGTTTAGTTCTCAGATACGGAGAGTTTCAATATGTAGCAAGTGTTTTATGAAACTGAAAGCATGAAGAATTGCAGTCTACTTGTCATTTTTTGATCGGAAAAAAAAAAAAGGAAAAGGCTTGTCATTTGGGAACTATATGACACACAATTTTATTTAACCTATTTATGTACCATAGTTCTTGGAAGAACTCAGACGAACAGTAGGTTCACATTTGAGGGGTACTGTTTTATATATCAGTTCTATGCAAAGTTGAATGAATCTACATACAAGATGACTTTAAAAAATGAACACAAACACCAAGTTAGTGAGTTTCGAAATCAGCTGATGTAGTTCTTGAATAAACAATCCTTTGGGTAAGATCATTGTGGCCAAGAACAGTGTCCCCCCTGCACAGGACCCAGGTAGCAGGGTATAACAATAAAACCATAAAATGTATAAGCACCATGACATGGAAACATATTTTTGAACCCGAGATGTTTGCAAAGGCTGCATCTCAACTCTGCTGAAAGAATACAAATTTATTTGACGAAAACAAATAAAGTTTTATATATCAATAGTACAACGTATAATTACCCTACTTCGAAAAATGCATATAAAACTTCAATCACACCCCTCCTAGATAGCTTTAAGAGCAGGAATATACCGCAGGTTTTCTAGAAAGAATTTGAAATAAAATTGCGAGCCAAATTACATCCCTCTCTTTTCTGAAGTACGACTGCACCACTGTCAACAATAACACTGCTGCTAGTGCTTAGTTTTCTTTCTTCTTGCTTCTGAGTTCCACATCATCTGGGATACATGATGACCAAAAAAGTGGCAAAACTGTGCATGCCGCCTGTATTAGAAGGCCGCATTGCAAGCCTGAGAAATCATTCCCTGTCACCCCAACATATGATGCAAGCGCAACGCCAAGGTATCCACTCAGTATAAATGCAAGAGCAATAGCAGACATAAGAAATGCCATTACAGAACCCTCGCATCCTGGTGGGCAGAGCTGTGCCATTAGAACACTGAAAGGTAGAATCTTAAAGAAGTACAAAACCTCTAGAAAGCCTGAGAAAACCACAACATATAGTGAATCAGGTACCCCCAGCTTGCGATATACGCCTTTCACAAACAAAACATCTGAGATAATGAAAATGGCAATAATGGCCTGAATGGCTGAGATTAGTTTCCTTGGGGGAATTGACTTCAAGTGTCGATTATAAGTGACACCCCATAGAAGCATTGCCACCTGTCCCAACACCTTAGATATCCCCAACATTGATGATTCAATCTTTAAGTATTGTGTTTGATAATAGAACATTGTGCCTGTTAGAGCTGGAATTATGGCATAAGATGCGGCAAACCAAGTTATAGAAAGGGAGATCTCAGGGTTTTTTAATGCAACTAGGAGCTCTGAAAGTTGCTCTCTGATGCCCAACTTGGATGAACTCTTGGGGAGGTCAAGGGAGTTTTCGTGGATGAATATTGTAATGAAAAATTGGACAGTGAGAAGAATGCCAAACAAAAGAAATATTGCCTGTGGGGAGAAACGGCCTATGGCAACACCGCCTAGAAGGTTTCCCAGGACTCCACCAATTGAGGAGGCCATCCAAACGAATGACTGGAGCTCACCTGAGGGAGATGATTCCGAGTTATTTGAAGACGAAGTAGGTTGTTTTCCGATCTCTGCAACAATGGCATCATTTGCTACCTCAACTACTGAAGCACCAAGGTTCCCAAGGAGGAGATATAAGGTCATTGTGAAGAATGAGATATTTGACAGAGAAAGAGATGCAGTTGCAAGCCATGACACTGCTTGTACGAAAGCTGCACCAACGTATGAGTTGCAAAAATTAGGACAGGTATGCAAGAAACTTCTTTAAACCGATTAAAGAACTTATTTCCTAATGTTTTGCTTTTCATGTTGTCTAGTGTCAGAGCCCTGAATTATGAGAAAACTCACATAAGACAAAAAAAAAATGAACCAATTGCATCACTTTCTTGGTGATAAAATCAACAACAATATTTCATAGCCAAAAATAGAGGAGAAACTTGTATATAGTCTCGATATCACTTCACTCATGCAATAACAAACAACATATTTACGGCTCTTAGACATAAACTAGACATGACTTTGCATGGAGTCACCAGCAGCCAGCAGATGTGTGTTATTTGCGTCTTCACTGGCAGGCTGTACGTCATACATATGAAAAGGAAAAGCAGAGAGGGAGAGAAGGCAATAGAGTGGCCGTGGGGGATATTTTTGCAAAATACCACTACCTCTTAAGACGCATAGCAACATGTTTGTCGAATCATATCTCAGCTTAAATTAAAAAAAAAAAATCGTCGAATCTCTTTCCAGTGAAAAAAGGGGGCGTGGGGAAGCCGTTGATTCCAGAGCCTATTGATGGTAAAGAATGGAATCTATCAATTTATAGGAATATGTATATGTTATTGCAGAGAGTACATAGAATGCGATCAAATCTCCGAAGAAATTATAAAAAGGCGAATGAGAATTAGGGGAAAGGGGGAGGGGGAAGAAGAAATAGAAATAGAAAAATTACCACCGATGGCGATGTAGGGGATGCGGTGCTGGCCAGAGATGTAGATGGAATCAGAGAGAAGGCCGATAAAGGGCTTGGAAATCATGGGGAGATTAGCGGAGTTCTGGAGGAGCTGGAGTGTGGAGGGTTCCACCTTGAGTCCGTCTTTGAGGAAGAAATTCACTCCCATCCATGGCAAGCACCTCAATCCCTGCACGCAGAACCCTATCCCTAGCACCACCCTCCTCATCCTCCACCATCCGCTACTATCTCTGTCCGATGCTGACGACGATACCATTCTCTCTCACTCTCTCCCTCCCACGGATGCAAACCACAACCTGCAGTAACTTTAGATAGATAGATATTACAGATTATATATTTTCATCATCATGAATATGATGACAAGTAGTTAAAAAGAAAGAGGACCAGACCAGAACAGACCAGACGACAAGCTTTCACTGGCTCGCTGTGTGTTGATCGGCGGCGGAGCCAGATTTTGTCCGTAGTGGCGGCAACCGGTGGATTGAAGAGAACAATCAGACAAAAACCATCAAACTCTTGTTTTGCAAACAAATAGTGAGAGGCCTTCAACGATCAGATTTGGATCGGATTCCCTATGATTCGAAATTGGATTAAAAACTCTTTTTGATTATGTGACAGAGTTTGTTTTTAGAGTGCATATTTGAATAATTGGAATATTAAAAAACCGATGGATTCTGTGTCTATTAAANAGTGCATATTTGAATAATTGGAATATTAAAAAACCGATGGATTCTGTGTCTATTAAAGTTCAATTTTAATAATTTAAATTTATTTTAACCAAATATAATAAAATCTCATTAGATATCCATACATACTTGTATATCAATCGAACTGTGCCACACTTCAATTGAATATATATAAATTTAGACTCGTGAAAATTATGCAAATAATACAAACCTAGATAGTTAGTTAAAAATATCAATTTGTTCTAATATTTCAGATAAGATCAAATTCATGTCAATATTTAATCTATTGACAAACTTAAAATTTTGATGACCACAAGAATACCATGTAATTTTAAATTATGAAATTGACTCTAAATATTTTCAAATATTCTGCTGGGGAAAATTTATATAACAAATAGATTTCTGAATATTTTAAATGGACCCCAAATAATTTTTTGAAATACAGTGAGGCATATGCCTCCATTTCCGGCCCTGGCGGTGATTGTTGGGTGAATGCATGTGTATGTTTGGGATGAAAGACAAAGTATGGAAGAGAAATGAGAGAGATCTGAAACGGTAAAGTTGTAGAAATAATACAATTCTTAATTTAACCTTTCTCAAGTTTTGGTGAATTTTTATTTTTGCACCTCAAATTTTTGTTGCTGGAACAATGATTCTTAAAATTGTAATTCAATTCCAAGCGGTCATTCTACCTATACTATCTGTTAAGAGTAAATATTAAATGCGATGGTGATATTATTTTATTATTGATGATATAATATAACCGATTAATAATAAAAACTCTAAATGAGAAAGGTGAATCTCACTTAAGTTTTCATAACAAAAAAGGTGAAGAGTTATTTGTTTGCATGTCAGGTTAGTTACTAATTTTTGTGAAGTCTATCTATTTATTTATTTTAATATTATTGATTAATAATATCACATTATCTTACTACATGATATCCCGTTATAATAAATATTTTTTCATTAACTTGATGTGATGGCAGGAGAAAAGATAGAGCGGTGGAAGTGGGACACCTATCCCTTTTGTTATTTTAAAAATTTTACAACTTTTTTTTTTTTTTAGTTTGTTTTGGTCAATGATGTACGCAACTTGGTAGCCCTTTCTTTTGGGTAAATTTTGTTACATCTTCCCTACATATTCATCTTCTGGGGCAGTAACAAGGGATATCTACATAAAAACTTTCATTTTTATAAATACTATATGCATGCAACATGTATGTGGGGTACAAAAAAAATTATATACTGTGATTTTTTGGGATCTCGTGTTTTTTGAAAATAATCCAATTCTTTCTACAGCTAAATCTCAATTTGTGGAAAGCCTTTGAAGGCTTCCTTAGGAAAACGTAAATTTTTATTTGAGTAATAACTAAATTTTTTATCTCTATTTGCATTTTAGCGAGTTGACCTGCGCTATGAGAAATTTTTGAATAGAATATACTGCAATATCTCTAATTCATGAATTTCTTTAAAAATTAAGAAACTTAAAATAATTTAGAAGTTGTCCCCACTTAAAATTTTGTAAAAAGACTTGGGGTACGTGGTAGTTTTGCATTCTAGGTATTAAGTGGATTTGGTTAATTAAAATGAAGTAGAATTCTTTTTTTTTTTTTTTTTTTTTGGGGGGGGGGG